TATCACCCCTCCCCTATCACCCCTATCACCCCTCCCCTATCATCCCTATCACCCCTCCCCTATCACCCCTATCACCCCTCCCCTATCATCCCTTCCCCGATAACCCCTCCCATCACCCCTCCCCTATCACCCCTCCCCTATTACCCCTCCCCTATCACCCCTTCCCCTATCACCCCTCCCCTATCTCCCCTTCTCCTATCACCCCTTCCCTATCACCCCTTCCCCTATCACCCCTCTCCTATCATCCCTTCCCCTATCACCCCTTCCCCTATTACCCCTCCCCTATCACCCCTTCCCCTATTACCCCTCCCCTATCACCCCTTCCCCTATCACCCCTCCCCTATCTCCCCTTCTCCTATCACCCCTTCCCTATCACCCCTTCCCCTATCACCCCTCTCCTATCATCCCTTCCCCTATCACCCCTTCCCCTATTACCCCTCCCCTATCACCCCTTCCCCTATTACCCCTCCCCTATCACCCCTTCCCCTATCACCCCTCTCCTATCATCCCTTCCCCTATCACCCCCCTATTACCCCTCCCCGATCACCCCTTCCCCTATCACCCCTCCCCTATCATCCCTTCCCCTATCACCCCTCCCCTATTACCCCTCCCCTATCACCCCTTCCCCTATTACCCCTCCCCTATCACCCCTTCCCCTATCACCCCTCCCCTATTACCCCTCCCCTCCACCCCCCGCTCCGAACGTAGACGTATTGTCAAAAGTCTATTAATCGCACTTTCACCACATCCAGTACTGTGTACACTGTCCACAATATAACACATTCTCGAGCACATTTATAATACATTACATAACATAATACAATGCCTATGGTATGTGCGCTATTCTGTACAATTTGGTTTACCGTACGTGCGCTGACAGCTGAAGCACATTCTCCATTCACAGCTAGAGGGGAGAAATATCTCTTGGCATGCTTTCACATTCGCATGCAGTGCTGCGTATACCAATAATATAATCCATCTCGTTCGAAACATGCGTTCGCTCCCCCGCTACCGGTTTGCTCGAAGCTTCACTCTTTTGGCAGTGCCAGCTGCCATCACGCGGCATCTGCAGTTTACGCAGTAAAAGAAGCGGCCGGTGGTTTGGAACGCGTACCAGACAGATTTGAACAACCAAAGGTAAAAACGCTTGACACGTGCGTCCAGTTGTAAACGCACAAGGTCGATGACATCGGTGTGCGTGTGTTGTGCGTCGTTCCTCGTTACTGCCACCACATTTAATTGCACGCAGACGACAAGTCAACCAAAGGCGTCGCGTACCATTCGCAACGGAGGCCTGGGAACGCGTACAAAGTTGTGGTTCGTGCAGCGTTTGGGTGATGCAATGCTTCGTGTAAATCTGCACGCATTTGTGCAAAGCACTGTCAACGTGTAATTGGCCCGACAAATAAAGGCCACTTTGAAATAGTGCTGACAATGTTGTACGCGAAATGACAATGGTGTCGAACAATGTCAGATTAAGAGCATAGAACCCGATCTGATTGAAATGTCGGTCGATGTTTGTGGACATGCGTTGTAAACCTGTTGAGGGTCTCTTGAATTGTCACCCGGGTTAAACAGCATGGAAATGGACAAATTAATAAATACAAGTGCATGGAATGAATGTCATTTTTTTTTATTGCGTTTTGAAAACCTGTAATCCACACCAATGCCCAACAACCGTAAAATGTAGGTTGCATAAGCTAAACGTGGATTCATTCATTCGGGTTGTGTTGCTACAAATTAGGTGGATGCTATGAACAGGAGTTTTTTTTTTTAAACAGTACCACGGTCATCCCACGCAGACAATCTCTGGCTTCCATCTCCCGCAAAGCTTCTGGACTGCAATCCAATTAAACCTCATCTGCACACAAAGTATGGCAGATGCGGAAACAGGGACTCCTCTACTTACGAACGAGTTAGGTTCCAGAAGTCTGTTCGCAAGTCCAACTTTACCCCTGTCGATTCCAAACATGTTGTACAACATGTATACTAAACGTGGGGAATTCGCTTTAAAGGTTGTACAATCTCCTAGAGATGTAGATGCCACTGGTTATTCATGTTCTACAGATGTAGATGCCACTGGTTCTTCATGTTCTGCAGATGTAGATGCCACTGGTTCTTCACGTTCTGTAGATGTAGATGCCACCGGTTCTTCACGTTCTGCAGATGTAGATGCCTCTGATTCTTCACGTTCTGCAGATGTAGATGCCACTGGTTCTTCACGTTCTACAGATGTAGATGCCACTGGTTCTTCATGTTCTGCAGATGTAGATGCCACTGGTTCTTCACGTTCTGCAGATGTAGATGCCACTGATTCTTCACGTTCTGCAGATGTAGATGCCACTGGTTCTTCACGTTCTGTAGATGTAGATGCCACCGGTTCTTCACGTTCTGCAGATGTAGATGCCTCTGATTCTTCACGTTCTGCAGATGTAGATGCCACTGGTTCTTCACGTTCTACAGATGTAGATGCCACTGGTTCTTCATGTTCTGCAGATGTAGATGCCACTAGTTCTTCACATTCTGCAGATGTAGATGCCACTGGTTCTTCACGTTCTGCAGATGTAGATGCCACCGGTTCTTAACGTTCTACAGATGTAGATGCCACTGGTTCTTGACGTTCTGCAGATGTAGATGCCACTGGTTCTTCATGTTCTGCAGATGTAGATGCCACTGGTTCTTCACGTTCTGCAGATGTAGATGCCACTGATTCTTCACGTTCTGCAGATGTAGATGCCACTGGTTCTTCACGTTCTGTAGATGTAGATGCCACCGGTTCTTCACGTTCTGCAGATGTAGATGCCTCTGATTCTTCACGTTCTGCAGATGTAGATGCCACTGGTTCTTCACGTTCTACAGATGTAGATGCCACTGGTTCTTCATGTTCTGCAGATGTAGATGCCACTAGTTCTTCACATTCTGCAGATGTAGATGCCACTGGTTCTTCACGTTCTGCAGATGTAGATGCCACCGGTTCTTAACGTTCTACAGATGTAGATGCCACTGGTTCTTCACGTTCTACAGATGTAGATGCCACTGGTTCTTCATGTTCTGCAGATGTAGATGCCACTGGTTCTTCACGTTCTGCAGATGTAGATGCCACTGATTCTTCACGTTCTGCAGATGTAGATGCCACTGGTTCTTCACGTTCTGTAGATGTAGATGCCACCGGTTCTTCACGTTCTGCAGATGTAGATGCCACTGATTCTTCACGTTCTGCAGATGTAGATGCCACTGGTTCTTCACGTTCTACAGATGTAGATGCCACTGGTTCTTCATGTTCTGCAGATGTAGATGCCACTAGTTCTTCACATTCTGCAGATGTAGATGCCACTGGTTCTTCACGTTCTGCAGATGTAGATGCCACCGGTTCTTAACGTTCTACAGATGTAGATGCCACTGGTTCTTGACGTTCTGCAGATGTAGATGCCACTGGTTCTTGACGTTCTGCAGATGTAGATGCCACTGGTTCTTCACGTTCTGCAGATGTAGATGCCACTGGTTCTTCACGTTCTGCAGATGTAGATGCCACTGGTTCTTCACGTTCTACAGATGTAGATGCCACTGGTTCTTCACGTTCTGCAGATGTAGATGCCACTGGTTCTTCACGTTCTGCAGATGTAGATGCTACCACCGCCGCGGTTGAATTTACGACTCTCGGTCCGAACAAGCCACTGGACATATGGACAGGTTTGTTCGTATCTCTGAAAGTTCATAAGTTGAATATCCGTAAGTAGAGTAGTCCCTGCACTTGATGCACAGGTGGCAACTGCTCAACTCTCTGGTGTGCCACTGTTGTCACCCTCACCCACAACATACCATGGGACGTACAGCGATTGAATGCCCGAGTCTCGAACACGAAGGAGGCAATCGTTTACAACGATTCGCTCGGCTGTTCCTGACGCAATCATATGGCCCGACCGCTGCAATGTAAACGTCATCGTCACCGCTCTTCATCAACATCAGCCACGCGAAGAAGGGTTTAGCAAAGTCTCCTTAAGATTCTAGTAATGCGTGCTTCTGTGCTGCAGAATGCAGCAGCTGTTATCCTTCTTGCTCACGGACATCGCTGAAGGTGATAATCGATGTTTCTGAGTTTATTATTACGGATTGTCATTTTTTATCGTATCCTCCTCTTGCCGAGCTAAGCCAGGCAACAGCATCTTTATCGGCAGCGTGGAGAGGGCCTGGAGACTACCGTCGAGTTCAAGAGCACGACCTGTAGCGCTGTGGTGTTGAGGAGAAAACGTGGATGGGTGGGAAGGTGGGGAGGGTGGATGGGGGAAGGTGGGTGGGCGGGGGAAGGTGGGTGGGCGGATGAGTGGGGCAGGTGGATGGATGGGGGGAAGTGGATGGCAGAGTGGGTGGGTGGGGGAAGGTCGGTGGGTGGGGGGGATGGCTGGCTGGCTGGCTGGGGGGGATGGCTGGCTGTGTGGGGGGATGGCTGGCTAGGGGGATGGCTGGCTGGGTGGGGGGATGGCTGGCTGGCTAGGGAGATGGCTGGCTGGCTGGGGAGATGGCTGGCTGGGTGGGGGGATGGCTGGCTGGCTGGCTGGGGGGATGGCTGGCTGGCTGGCTGGGGGGATGGCTGGCTGGGGGGATGGCTGGCTGGCTGGCTGGGGGGATGGCTGGCTGGCTGGCTGGGGGGATGGCTGGCTGGCTGGGGAGATGGTTGGCTGGGTGGGGGGATGGCTGGCTGGCTAGGGGGATGGCTGGCTGGGGGGATGGCTGGCTGGGTGGGGGGATGGCTGGCTGGCTGGCTGGGGGGATGGCTGGCTGGCTGGCTGGGGGGATGGCTGGCTGGCTGGGGGGATGGCTGGCTGACTGGGGAGATGGCTGGCTGGGGGGATGGCTGGCTGGCTGTCTGGGGGGATGGCTGGCTGGCTGGCTGTCTTGGGGGATGGCTGCGTGTTGGATTGCTGGTGGAGCGGTGCACTTGGGGGAGGGTTGACGGTTGCGGGGTTGGGGGGGGGGGGATTTGGGACCGGGTTTGAGGCTGCGTGGGTAAAATGGGCGGAGGAAGACGGCCGCATGAAGGATGAAGAATGTGTGTGGGATTGCCTCCGCAGCCCAAACCGCGTAACGCGGTGATGCCGTGGCCTCGACCGCCGCTGCTGCTGCTGCTGCTGCTCTCGCCGGCCCGATCCGATTGTTGCGCGTGTTCGCGGCGGATATTTCAAGTTTAAAAAAAAAAAATGAACAAACAAAACACGTGAACGAATAAACCCGCAGGCGCGCACGCGAAGGGATAGGAGTACTGTACATTTGGTGGGGTTGTTTTTTTTTGTCCCCATTGGGCACAAAAATAGAAACGGAGCAGTTACAGCGCAGGGCTGCGTCAAGGGATCGTGCGCTCGCCTGGCAGGAGCCAACGTGTTACCAAAACGCATGCGGCGAAGAAGATGAACAGCCATAATAATATATTAATAATAATAATGATACATTAACAACGATATAAGCAAACGGCTCTGTGAACAGAGCCATGCAGACGCCGGTGGCCGTGCCGGGGATTTGAAACCGAAATCATTGTTTGTGTGTGTGTGTGGTTTTGGTGGTTGTTGTCGGGGAACGGAAATCAAAAAGAAGAGGGTACTGCTGGAAAATGGCAGCTGTCCTCTCGACGGAGCGTCAGGAGATCCCACTGACAGAGGTGGGTGCCTTGGATTCCCCGAGACGTCGTTACACTCCGTGGCAGGCGCGGAGAGTTGGTGGGAGTGGGTGGGTGGTGGTGGTGGTGGTGATGAGTAGGAGACAAGCAAGTCAAGGTAAGTGGACAAATCCAAAGGCTTCTTTCAAAGCGCCGGGAACACTCTCCGCCGTTGGAGGGAGTTGAAGCTGCTGATGGTTCGTGCCTGCTGCTATGCGTAATGAACGCGGCTCGTTAAACCCCTTGCCCCCGTTATAGAACAATTGCGCTCAATTATGTGCTTGCGTGCGATCGCATCGGGACGTTCAGGTGACTGCATGCAAAATGTCTTGAGGTGTGCTCGCCACGACGAGAGGGCTTTAGGAGTTGAAATAGTTCGCGTAGTTTTGCTCCTCCTCCGTTGATGGAACGCGGACCCGAGGGTCGTGGGTTTTTTACTGATGCGTTCGACATTTACACTCCAATTTTCCCCATTCGCACGAAGGGGGGGGGGGGGGAGGTGGTGATGCCTAACGCCGGCAACGACGTTGTCTCGTGCACTTGATGAGTTACATCACCCGAGGAGGAATGTCATAGCCGGGAGGTGATGCTAAAGCGCTCGTCCAATTATTGTTCGCGAGCCTTGTTGCGCTTGTTGCACGTCGTCGTCCGTTGAACTTCGTTCGCACCGTACGTCGCCAACCGTGCTTTACAAAAAACAACAACTCTATATATATGATAGCACTGGCGTGCTTTGTTTGCGCGTGTGCGATGAAGTGAACTGACACTTTGTTTTGACAGCACTGCTAGGTGCTTGTGAGAAATCACGTGTATTTTAGTGGGGGGGCATAGTGGGGGGGGGATTGTGGGGGGGGGGGGGTGGGCATTGTGAGGGGGGTGGTGAGCATTGTGGGGGGGGGGTGGGAATTGTGGAGGGGGGCACAGTGGGGGGGGGGCATTGTGGGGGGGGCATCGTAGGCCGGGTTGGCATTTTCGGAGGGGGTGGGTATAGTGGGGGGGGGTGGGCATTGTGAGGGGGGGGTGAGCATTGGGGGGGTGGTGGGAATTGTGGGGGGGGGGTGGCATTGTGGGGGGGGTGGGCATTGTGGGGGGGTGAGCATTGTGGGGGGTGGGGGGGGTGAGCATTGTGGGGGGTGGGGGGGTGAGCATTGTGGGGGGTGGGGGTGTGAGCATTGTGGGGGGTGAGCATCGTGGGGTGCCCACTGGAGCCAGGGAGCTCAACTGGTGCGCGCTACCCATCCAGTGGCAATGCCCTTTACCCATTCACGCCCACGCGTGCGGCGACGCGCGGTGCCTCTCTCAATTAAAATTGAGTGAGACTTGGATATTTATTCTACACATTGTCATCGCTTAATTGTTTTCAACAATAGATGATTTCGCTGTGAGTTTCCTCTCTCTCTCTCGCTCTCTCTTTTCTCACTCACTCTCTCCGAGATGCAGCGATACACAGTTCGGCATCCGCTAATTGACGTTTTTTTTTTCTTTCTTGACGGTGGCGTAAATTAACAAAACGTTCTCCCGGGCCTCTCCGTGGGGCATTGCTTGAAAAACTTTGCCCGGTCGTGCCTCGCTTCGTCGCGGGAGGCTGCGATGCCGTGCCCGGGGAGTCGTTGAGGATCCAGGTATCGTCATTGTCGCTTCTCTTGGTACGCATGCCGAATTGCACTGATAATCGATGCGAGTGGTCGTATGACTAAAAAGTCGAGAGTGTGTGTGTGTGTACGTATACTCTGAACTCCTTTCGCACCGCACGTAGCCAACCGTGCTAATCGAAGGTGCGGAGGAAGGACATCAAACTAAATACGAAAAGTAATTATAAAGAAATGAGTTTTCGATCGAGTTTTAAAAGTGCATAGCTCCAGTGGCTTCCTAATATCGGAAGGAAAGAGCGTTCCAGACGGCCGCAGAAGCGCGTGTGAAAGCGCGCGATGCGGTGACCGCCTTTGGTCGACGGCCGAGCCAAAAGCCGCTGCTGCTTCGAGGGTGATCGGAGTTCGCGTGATGGTTCATGCTCCTTGACGAGATGAGCTAAGGTATTGTGGTTCAATCTTCTTTGGCGAGCACTTTGGGTGTGCAATGAGTGCGAGTGTGTGGATATCGACATTGAAAGCCAAGGACAACCCATGAAGACATTCGTCAGAAACGCCGCTTGAAATAGAAATATTTACATCGAATAGGCGACGTTTTGGGTATGCGCTATGGAAGGTCGACCATTGCCCGAAGCATCCCCGTTTCGATTTTTTTTCCCTTTTAACACAACAGTGTTATTGACGAAGGTATCGAGTATGTTTTTTTTTATTTGTGGTGCCCCTGCACCACTGGCCACAGTATGTGCGTGTTGGATGTTGGCTCATTTTAAACGACAATAGCGGAGGAGCGTTTGACTTAAGGGCGCATTGGATTGTTTCGATCTCAACGGATCAACACAGCCACCGTATCATATTGCCTTTTGTATATTCGTGATCGATGTGCTTCTCTACAACATGCCAATCATTCTCAATACGAATGCCATTCAATGTGCCTGCACTACCATACGAATGCCATTCAATGTGGCTGTCCTACCATACGAATGCCATTCAATGTGCCTATCCCACCATATGATGTGCCTGCCCTACCATTAGGTCTCGGCAAGGTAAGGTAATTTACCCTTTTTACCGGGTAAAAGGGTAAAGGTGTCGACATGCCAAGGGGTAAGGTAAAGGGTAGTAGGGTAAAGGTAGCTCGGAAGAGTTACCCGGTAAACACCTTGTTTACGGTAAACACCTTGTTTACGGTAAATACCTTGTTTACTGTAAACACCTTGTTTACAGTAAATACCTTGTTTACTATAAACACCTTGTTTACCGTAAACACCTTGTTTACGGTAAACACCTTGTTTACGGTAAACACCTTGTTTACGGTAAACACCTTGTTTACTGTAAACACCTTGTTTACAGTAAACACCTTGTTTACCGTAAACACCTTGTTTACCGTAAACACCTTGTTTACGGTAAATACCTTGTTTACTGTAAACACCTTGTTTACGGTAAACACCTTGTTTACAGTAAATACCTTGTTTACAGTAAACACCTTGTTTACCGTAAATACCTTGTTTACCGTAAATACCTTGTTCACCGTAAACACCTTGTTTGTTTACCGTAAATACCTTGTTTACCGTTCGCTAAAAGCTCTGTGGCGCAGTCTGTGGCCTCCATTTAAAATTGGAATCATCGAAAGTCTTCCATATGAATAAAGCGCTCTACCTAGCATTTACCTGTTACAAACCTTTTTCATGTGTAGTACCCCAGTAATTACCCTGTAATCAGGTAATTCGTATGGAGTAAGGGTAAAAGGTAGGGTAAAGGTAGGCTTGTTGCTTTTGACCTTTTACATTTTTACCTTACCTTGCTAAAGGGTTCAAGATAAGGGGAGAGTGATTGTATTGTGGTAAGGTAAAAGGTAGGGTAAAGGAGGCTCGTTGTTTTTACCTTACCTTGCCGAGGCCTACCTTACCATATGATCTGCCTGTCCTACCATACGAGAGCAATTCAATGTGCCTGTCCTACCGTACGAATGCTATTCAATGTGCCTGTCCTACCAGTGATCCACAGTCCTCAGTCAGTTTAAATAATACATATTACAATTCCTTATAGGGGAAACACATACTAATTAACGGATTACTAACGTAGCATATAATCACAATAACACACATTACAACTAATTACTAATCTACAACTCATTACTAATCATAACCATTGACTGATTACCAATCGATTATTTAATTACAATCCCCCCCTCCGCCTCAAATCACTGCACCTGAATGAGTTAAATGACGTCACCCTGCTGCTCTATTTAAGACCGGGAGCAAGTGAGGGCTTTACCATTCTGGCGAATTGCCTGATGATGCTGGATGTAATTACCAACGAAACGTCGTACTCAAACTGTAAATGTTGTGGATTCACTCTTCAACACACCGGTGGGCTAAAGTAGTGAACTATTTGTCTTTTGTCAACGTGACACTTTTTTGCTGATTGGCCGTGTCGGGTGGTGGAGGGTTACGACACATTTATAAATAACGCGATCTAACCCAAAAACCTTTGTTATGAGTCCTCAGTCAGCCAGGATAGTAAGTGACCGTGCCTTAGTGTACGTGCGTCTATAGAGATAGGAGGCTGGTGACTGTGGCGAGGTTAGTGGTGTATTTCAAGCATTTGGCTGCTGCTACAAATGCCCACGTGATGATGATGATAAGCCACTTCGTTGAGCTATTATTCGTGATAGCCAGATCGCTACTGAAAATTAGCTATGCAGCTCAGTGAGCCTTACCTGGTAAAATACACGCGAAATGAGCGCCCTTCTTTTTCAAATAAGCTTGCTTATTTATCTGCTGATACAGCATTTGTGGTATCGTAATTGGTAGCCGAACTTAGTCTGTACTCCCTCTAGGTAAACTCGGCTTAAAATATGTACTCGTAAATAATGTGTCAAATGAGATTTGGCCTCATAATGTGTGTTGTCCATCTGAATAAAGAGCATGTTCTTGCTCGCGTTACTTAAACAACCCCTTAATATTGACAATATTAAGCTGGTTTAAATGCATTGGTTTAAAGGGGGTCTGGCCATCATTCACAATTGTTTCTCATCACCGGGTGGATTGCCAAAGGCTTCGAATCACACGAGGATATTGTTCAACATTTTGGAAACGTAACTGCGCAAACCCTGTGAATATATTCTAGATTTGAAGCTTTCGTGACTGCAAGGATCCATACTCTTTGGTTCTATACTTTTACATGACTTTGCCGAATAGAACCAAAGAGCCTGTGAATATAGCTCTCTCGTGATTGATCTTGTGACGTAGCAACTCCCCCACAATGAATCAGCTGTGTATGTCTTGCTGTGTGCTGCTGGGGTTAGAACTCTTGCCTCACAGTTAGAATTTTACGAGTTTAAATTCTGGTCATGGGTCGACACAGCATTACATCACTCTGGTGATCGATAAAATATTCACCAATTTTTGAGAATTC